TATGAGTTGTCATGGTCTCTCTACAAAATTGCATCTGTCCAACTTTCAAAACATGCCATCATGCCGTCACATGGGGATGGGTCAAAACCCTGGTACCTAGTGAACCCCAAAATAGCTGGTAAATGGATGTTCATCCCACTAAAAATGTATCTATAGGTATTGACCCATACCCACATGCCGTCGATGATTTTGTCTTCGGTGCTGGTTGAATTCCATCGGCTTTGCCGATAGGAGCTCGATTTTTGCGGTGGCCGCACGAGCCATGGCCATTTTTCTGGCCGGGAGCACTTTCATCTAAGAGGTGATATCTATGTCATATATATATATATAGTATATATAATTATAATATGTATTGCCATCATGTGCCGTGCTTCAGTTCCAAAACGTCACCACCAACTTCTTAATCTTCTTACCTTGTGAATTCTTATGATATCTTCTATTTTCATCGCCACATTCGTCGTTTTGCATATCAAGTTCTGATGTTCTGTGACCAACAGCCTAGGGCAAGGAGTCGACAGAGGAGCCAGGAGTAAATCGCGAGCCAAAGCGCACCTGAGGGCTCGGATTGGCATCTGATGACCATCTGGGCATCTCAACTTCTAAAATTTCTAAAACTCTTACATCTCTTACCTTGCCTTGCTGCCTTGCCTAGGTCTTAGTTCTGGTTTTTTATGGTTTTTTGGTCTACATCCTGAAGTTTTGTTGCCATACTCAGATATACTCAGTATACTCGTCCTTTTTGCTCAGTTGAATCTCAGTTCTTGCCAACCCGTCTCAGCCCGGGCTGAGTGTCCCACCACCGCCAGCGCAGGCCCCACAGGTTGGGAGCTGCTGCTCGGCTCGCTGGGAGGATCGCTGAGACTGCGAATCAGCTGGGCAATCCATGGAAATCCATGGAAAATCCATCCGAAATCCAGAATAATTTCAATATTTCCCAAGGACCTAATATTTTGCTTAGCAATGCTTAGCATTCTTTTCATGATTCCGAAGGATTCCACTGACTTATCAGCAAATCAACGACGGCATTTGTTCTTCATGTTCTTCCTAGATTGGTTTGATGGAACATTTACAGGAAACAATGGATCAATTCCATCCAATTCGGGCATTTAGGTTCATAGGGAATAAAAGAAATAAATTCACCAGGGAAAGCCTGAAAAACATCATTGGCAAGATTTGGAGAAATCATTGGAAATGGGAAAACTACGGCGACGGGGGCAACTACGATTGGAGGGCAGGTGACATACGGGATGTTTGAAGCCAAATCTTTTACAGGGTGGTTTGGCGCATGATTGACCAGCGGCCATAGATGGTTTGTCGAGTCCTGCTGCTGTTGTCTGATGATTTTCTCATCTTGGAAAATCTGAAGCGGATCAGTATACGCGGTCCTACATCATTTCATGCATGCTGAGGTTTAGCTATGGAAAATGCATGAACATGCAGGACCTTGTAACTCTGCAACAATCTCATTTGATTTGCGACACTCTAGAGCCTACATTGCCTACATCATCTGCCGACCATCGCCCTGTGCCTCCGCTCCCCGTGGCTCTTCCGGTGCTGCATGCTCTCAAGCCTCGTGCGGCACGTGCGGAGCATCGGCATTCGGTGGTGAGGTCCACCACTGAGGCGCCAACTCTGTAGGAACCAACTGCTGTCGCATCCTGTGACATCAAAATTTGGGTATGGAATATTATGGAATCATATGGAATACTTTATGATATTTTATGATGATGCTCAGATGTCATCCTATGTCATCCTATATCATCCTATGTCATCCTATGTCATCCTATTATCTTCACAGCTTTTTGCATCCCCCCAAAAAAAGCAATGGCCTTTGCTCAACAAGCTTCATCTTTGACCTCTCCACCTGCTTCAAGAACCTCTTCTTCGCTCGGATCCTCATTGGGAATATCTGAAAAAAAAAGACCGTTCTCAGAAGACTCAAGTCCCAAAAGTCCCAAAGCACTCAAGAATCTCAAAACTTGTTTTTCAGAGCTGAGTCCCATACTCCTCCTGCGACTTGTGCTGGCTGCGCTGGCTACTTTGAGTCGGTGCAGGCTGGCCCTTAGATCCGAGATCCGTTCAGAGGTAGCCGCTGGAAGCCGCTGGGCGCCCGGCCTTCCGCTGCGTGCCTTTCATGGGGTTCTTATGACACTCTGGCGCCTGGCACTGCGAGCATCCCGGTCGAAACAGCGGTTCTTGGGCTGGAGGGATCAAAATGTTGGAAAATACATGAAAATACCCATAACATCCCATAACAATATCCTGAAAATCAGATAAAATCAGATGGTTCAGTCCTGAAAAATTGCCCAAATGATATCAAATAACATCAAATAACCATAAAATCATCCAAACTCTCTGGCTCCTCATCGAAGAGATCGCAAAGTGCCTCAGGGGATGTAGAGACATGTTTGGTCCGACTTGGGGGAGACACCCCTTAAGCCTTGAACTTAACATGAAACCTAAACTGGCCATCTTCAATGTCTTCCAATTGTCTTCCAGACCCATCTAAAAGGGGTCCATTTTCAATTTAGGGGCAGTCATTGAAGATTTGGATAGGATTCTGTAGGATTAACTCTGGGAAATCCACACTGCTGGGAAATTCAACCCCTGCTATTGAGCAGGTATGGACCTGTACTATGCTTCCAGTTTGCAGCTCCAGGTTTTCCTGTGTTCATGGTGCCACCCGCTTTGAAGCTTTAGGGGTAGAATCCTCAACATCCCCACGATGTTAGAGTTGAGACATCTTGATGCCCAAGAAATGACAACCAATGAGGAGCCAGTGAGAATAAATAGGAAATAAGCTGGAATAAAGTGGAATGAAGATAATGAAGGGTGCATGAATGGGGAGTAAATCGGTAAGTATGTCCGGTATGTCCATCGGGAATAAAAGGGAGGGAAATGAGTGGTAAATTGTCTTGCAACAAAACTTTGTGGCACAGGGAGGGAAATGATTTGGTGTCCGAAACATTCCCAATTACAACATTTTCTGACCCATGATTTACTCCATGCAATTAACCCTTTCCACGACATTTCACGACGGGGAGTCGCCTTTATATGTGTCGCCCTTGGCCCCTTGGCATCCGAACCTGTTTCACAGATTTGGTCTCAGTGGAGGCAGTTACTGGAAGGGCTGGTTCCGACCTCGCTTCATGGCATGTTTCACGGCCTCCATTGGCCACAGATGGCCACAGGGATATCTGGGCTGCGCACTGGCCAGCAAGGGCTTGAGTTGCCTTTTCCTGAGAATTCTCAAGTTGCGTTGAGACCATGTTGAAAGGTCTCAGGTATGGGTCCAAAGCCTGGTACCATGGTGAACCCCAGAATCGCTAGGATATGTGGATGCTCATCACCCAAAAATACGAGTACCTCTAGCTTCAGCCCCATGGCGAATGTGGCTTGCCACAATGGCCTTCTCCTTGGCCGATTGCACGTGCAACCGGATTTGAAGTTCCAGCTCCTTCCCAAAAAAAGGACCGGATTCATCCCTTTGAACCAGCTGCAGTTCTGGCGGATTCCACGTTGAAACTCAGGGATCAGGGCAAGTTTGAAATTCGAAATGCTGTTGGAAAATAAGACCATAATCAGGCATAATTAGTGAAGTGAAGCTGGGATGGGAATGGTTCAGAATGATTCACAGATTGCAGTCCTTTACTTTTGTGACCAATGCTTTCTTTTCAATTCTGAGCCTCAGGAAAGCTCGAGGATTCATGGTGAGTCACACGAGTGGAAGATTGAAACATCTTGGACCCCCTCTGCAGAATATGATGACTCTGACAGAGTTGTCCAACAAGAAACTTCGGAAATCTTGGGCACTTGATGGCACTCGTACCCTTTCAGCCTGTGTTCGCCCACAACTCTTAGACGACTTAGGATCAAACTCTTCAAGCTCATGGATTAGAAGCGAATTCTCCTGCGTCTTGTGGATGATGTCAGCCTGACGAAATTCACACACTCGCAGTTAAAAGCACCAGCTTTTACCCTCTGGTAATTTAACATAGCTATTGAAAATGGCCATAGAAATAGTGGATTTACCCATTGAAAATGGTGGATCTTTCAATAGTTATTTGTATGTTTACCAGAGGGTACTAATGATATATGCAGAATCTACCGCGCCTTGGCAGTGGCCTCACCATTTTTACCCCGCTGCGCCAGCATGTTGGCCTTCCGCTCCATGACCTCGACGTCTCGAGGTAATCTGAGAATCTGAGTCTTGGGACTGGCAATATGGTCAATATTTGGTCAATATATGGTCAATATATGATCAATATGCATATAATATGAACATCAAATATATATAAATATATCAAATCTGAGTATTTCATAGTTCATGATAGTTCAAGTCTTGGGACTTGCATCTATTGGTTGGTTTGTATTCGATGTATTCGGATCTGTCCCTTAAATTTGCATGTCAGAATATGTCAGAGCTGGTGTAAGGGCCACATGGTATCCACCTGCCGGATTCCCCCTGTCACCAGCCGCACACTTTTCCAGGAGAAAAAGCGCACCCACATGGATATCAAATGCACATCATCCGCCACAAAATTGCTTCAAATGGGAAGTATAAGCAAAGAGAAGGCAGAAAAACGTGGATCACCGCTGATCCAACTTCGGTTTCAGCGGTTGGTCCTTTGCTAGACGTTATTTCGCTAGCCAGTGACAGTCGTGGCTTGTGCAGCGCAAAAATGGGGGGGGAAGTGGGCCAGCGCATGCCGTCGCACCGAGGAAACACAAAGCGCTCTGCCTGCGCAAGAGATGGTGTGCCATTCTGCCGAGACGCTTAAAGACACAAAGCTTCATTTATGAGGTGAATGCAGTCACATTCCGCACTGTGCATTTTTAGCAAGCTGAAAAATCACAATCACAAACATCAAGAGTTTGACTGGTTGACTCATCTATGGCTAATATTGGCCAATAGATGCTCGTAATCGGATATTGATATAGCACGCCCGCCTGAAATTCTTCCATACTGATCAGCTGATGTTGACTCGCTACATCGGCGATCATCGCAGATCATCGCGATCGTCTGGGAGTTGCAGTGCCAGTGAGTCAAGAACCCTTGTGAGGCGCAAGGACTGTGGAACTGGAGCATCATCTGGACGTTGGCAGATGCAAACCTGCAAGCTGGCGATGAATTGCTCAATGATTTCCGATCATATTTGTGTATGTATATATATATATATATTGTATATAGTATATATATATATTGTATATATATATTGTATATATATATATATTGTATATATATATATATTGTATATATATATATTGTATATATATTGTATATATATATGTATAAATATATATATATATGTATAAATATATATATATATGTATAAATATATATATATATTATGTATAAATAAGTGAGATGTGTATATTTTACAAACAGACTATTTTGGTGGATTGAGGATCCTCATTCTCCCATTCAAACGTTCTTTTTAGATCCCCACAGTCCCAGGCGAAGCTTGGACGGCCGAGATACCACACACCAGAGCCCGGTACGTAAACTCCTGCCGCGTTGGTGAAGCTATCAGGTACTGTAAATTCCTGGGTATAACATGGTATAACGAGTCCAAGTTGTAGAGGGAAACGATTGGATCCAAGACATGATCCAAGGGGATTGGGATAGCCCACTCTAAAATTCTTGGGCATACACATGGGCACAAGCCGCGCCCGATCTTGTTGAAAAGACTGATGCTTGGGCCCACAAATCTGGTCCTTTTTGGATATCTAAATAGATTTGTCTGAAAACAGTCTGTGCAAAAAGATATCAAAATATAATGATTGATCATGTTCGTTTCTAAAATTGCCATTTTGGGGTCTCCCCTATGAACAGAACGATTTACGATGTTGATCCATGTTGATCCGCTGTTTCCAGCTGTCCTGAGTAGTTCAGGTCCTTTGGAAGGAGTACACAAGCCATTGGTGGTCCACCAGCGCCCACCGGTGACAACTGGCGAGTCCCGTGAGACAAATTGCGGCCCGTGGCTGGGACCAAAGGTGGAGACACTGATGGATAAGGCTCGCTCTTCAGCCTGAGGCTCCTGGCGTTTGGTGAAAACCCTACGGTAACGTAAGTTATCCTCTATTTGTTCTGGAAAGTTAGGAAATTCACCACCAGAGTCACTTCTTTTTGGAGTATAATCCATTTCTGGACAAAGTGCTGGAAGGGTGTTGCTGTTGCGACAAGATCGATCTACGCAACAACATCGCTGAAATATCTCAAAATGTCATGTGGATATATGTTTGTGGAGGACACAACAGCTGTCAAGTTCCTATTGCAAAAACGGTATCCATACGTATCCATGACAACATGACCACAGCTGTCTCGGCTCCTTAGGAGTCACTCGCAAAAGCACATCATGATTTGTGGTCCAACCCAACTGCAACAGGAAGGTTTCAGGTGCTCCAAGTTCAGAGCTCAGCTGAAACGAAACTGGTGTGCTTACACTGCCACCGGTGAAATGAAGGCATCGTATCCTGAGCAAATACTCTGCAGCACCATAGCAGAGGCGTGAAAAAGCACGAAGAAACACACAATTGTTGGATGTGGAACGTCAGAAAGTTCTGGAGAGACCCATTTCCCTTAGACATCCAATGGTATAGATCTTGTTGGGCTCCCCCACTTCACCACACCAAGTAGCATGGCTCCAGTAGTGGCATGCCCTTGGCTTCTAGCATCCTTTGCTGTCTGCTCAGCCACCTCCAACTTCACCGCAAGCTTCCGTAGCTCCTGAGCAGAGACGACAAATGGCTGCCTCCAACATCAACGAGATCAACCAGGACACCCGGACAGCCCCAACCATTGAATGAATCGAATAAGTGCGTATCAAAATCCCAATCAACCTCACTCAATTCCCATTTTTTAGGGGAACAATGAACAGTCTTACATTTCCATTAAAAAAAAAACATAAAAAACATGAACCACGAATGGTTGAATATAACGTCCGAAACATCGTAGAATTCCTGGCCACCAACCCATAACCCGACCTCCAAGGAGTCAAGCACTACGGGTTCATGTCCATCCCAACCGCCCAAGGACTGCGCCAGTTTGCTCAGACTTGCCTTGGTGGCTGCATTGGCCTCCAGCGCTGACTGGGGATGCTTTATTATTGGGTTTACCACATCACCAAAATTGGTGATGCCTTAAGGATCAGTTTCAGAAAATCGTTTCTCTTTTGAAATTGTGACGATCTATCGTTTGGATGGTTTGGCAGGGGGGTAATCTAAAAAATATGGAAGCGAGAACCATGGGAACTTAGTGTGACTTCAGGATGTCTGTGTTTTAAGGATGCATTATCCCGTTTGTTTTTTACTTCACATAGTCTATTTGTCTATCCTGCCGCTCCGCACTTCCGGAATTTCCTCTGATCACTGCGACATGCCTTTGACCGCCCCAGATGCACCTCTAAGGCAGTTGAACACTCACCAGCAAGCACGAAGTGCGGAAGACGCTGCCGGAAGTAAACCACCCAGTGGTGCCCCGCCTGGCCAAGGTGCAATTTCTGAACTTCATGCAGTGAATTCTGGAGCTCGGTCGAGACTGAGACCTCTCATATCTTCACCATGTTGAAAGAATTGGTGGCTCCAACCCAAGTCACAGTGTTGGTGCCATTGCTGTATATGTGTGTATATATATATCCCTCAAGGTCCCATCAACAAATTTCCATCCAATTCCCATTCTGCTTGGTATCTTACAATTTCCAGCCACAATTTCCAGCTGTGTCTGTGAAATCCCCGGGGCTTTCCCCAGCCAGTGCCATCGCTGCCATCGGCGGGCGATGGAACGGCGCCTTGAGATCCGTCAGGCCACTGGCACTAACCATCTCCAAGGCCACCAGGTCTTGACAGTTGAGGGCCGACAGCAAGGAATCCAGCAGCACCTAACGTTAAGCGGCCGCGCGGGGCCGCGCGAAAAAATAAAGGGTGATGCGGAAAGGACACATGGCACACATGGATCCTTTTTCAGGGAACTTGATCATTGTGGGAGTGTTTATGGCCATGGCATTCTTGTGTTTTGTAATTATACAAGGGAATCTGTGTGGGATTAATATAGTTAAGAGACTGTTGTGAGTATATGATATGGGTTGGTGTTGGGGATGGGCCCGAACTTATAGCCATTTGACGATATTATACAGAATGGTATACCGTGCGGCCAAAACTTGAGATGGTTTTAGAGGATTTTGAGAGATCTGTAGATCAAACAAAGGGCTGCTGGCAAATAGGAGTGTTCTATCTTTTCAATCTTCTTCCATCGAACAAACCAATCCCTGCCAAACATCTTTGAAGGGAATGTCGAAATATCACCAAAAAAAATATTATATATATATATCCTTTTTATGTCCTTGCAGTTGAGGGTCTATGTCAGTTACTGTAAGGCAGAAACGAGAACAACAGATCTGCATGACCTCCATCAATATCATCAATCAAACCGCTTTGGGATCGTTTCACTCACCCGCTGCACCTCATTTGGCGAGACCTGTTGATGTCCCAGGAAAGCCATGTGCCATGACTCCGCTGGGCAAAACAGGATCACTCGCCCAGTGCCAAAGGCTGTGGCTATCTGTCCCACGTGATGCCTGCATTTTTCTATGTTGTTTTTATGTGAAGTTTGAAGTGGCAAGATCTGGTGTTGAATCTGGACCCTTGCTGACCGCTGCGGATCACTTCTGCGAATTCCTGCGAATTCTCTGATGTGGTGTGCTAGTATCCGTGGAACATGTTGAATAGCTGGAACCTCTTAGAACAGCTTGGAACATATCAAAACCCATTTGGACCCCATTTGCCGTTACCCCCATGTGCCTGGGCATCCCGAACGCCAGGCACTTGAGTTATCAATTCGCGGGACAGGAATGGATAGGGTGTGTACCAGATCCCACTGATATCATCATGTCATAATATGTCAAGTAATATGTCAAGTATATGTCATCATACTCCTATCTCATCTCAAGACACCACCTAGAATTGACCCAAAAAGCTACGGCCACTGGCCGCCAGGCCACAGCGTCCGCGATTCGCGCCTGGATCTGACGCCCGAGCTCCTGGATGGGACGACTCTGCTCCTCATCCTGGTAGGGCCCGGCCCGGCCATGGACGGTCCACATCGGTCCGTGCCGTGAGATCCGGCGGATCTCCGCTGTGACGCTGTCCTTGTTGAAGATCTCGGGGTTCACATGGTCGCGCCAGATCTTTTTCATGCCAATGTGCCAGTTGCGGGTGTCCTTGGAGATGTCGCAAGAATCTACTGTCAAAACAGTAGAATAGACCTGGTGACCTACCATCCATTGGACCATCCATTGGTCCTGCAGAAAGAGCCAGAATCAAGAATCTTCTAGGAATCTACTATCAATGGATTGGTTTAAGGGAAAATCTACCGGAAACCATAGATTTTTCCATTAAATATGGGGCTTTCCTGTAAATTTTCCCTTAAACCAATCCATTGATACTAGAAACCAGAACTCCCTCAACCTCCGCGCGGAGCGCCGACCTCACCACCGGTGGCCAGCTCGTGCAAATCCGCGGAGAAGCGAAAGATGGTGCGCTCACGCCTGCAGAAGTTTGCTTCCAGGTTGGAAAATGCTGTGGTAAAAGCCATAATTGGATATGTTGTTGGGTTGGAAATGTTGTCAATGATATTAATATACATATATATATATATTATACATATATATATATTACATAGTGAATTGGAGATAATTGGGTTACCCCTTAAAACCAGCTGCAAGAATTGGAAGTTCAGCATACTGACGCCAAATCTTGGGTGACCCACTTTGGGTTGATATGTTCCATGGCTCTCCATGGCTCACAATTTAAAGTCAAAAATCAGATATGTTCAATTATGTTCAGCTATCTCCCCATGTTATCCCATGTTCAGACAATTCCTTGAGCAAAAATATGTTGGAAAATCCTGAAAGATCCTGAAGTTAAATAGATTTAAATAGATTTAAATAGCTCATTCGATTTGGACCTGCAACGACCCGGCATCTGACATATCTGACCATTGGTCAACTGGGGTGCCAACTGTCTGATCAGCTCCTTTTGCTTCTCCACCTCACGGTCAAGTCATGACTGAACCCATCAGGACATTTGGATGGCTGAATAATCTGAATACTTGCTACGAACCACCATCTAAATCATCTAAATCATCTAAAATGTTAGATACATTTCATTTTAGGCTATCTCACTTTTCTCCAACCATTTTTGGGCAGTCTGGACTTTTGACATCTTTTGACCACAGATCCTGAGATATCCTGAGACTCGCTGCCTCCGCCGAAAGATCCGCGACTTGTTGGCACTTTGTTTCGAGGACTGACTCCTGTGATTTCCAGGTGACAACTCTTTCGGGATCAAAGGAAGTTGATCGGGGCATCCCGGGTCCAAATTTGATCCCAATTTTCACCCGTCCATCTGCGACTGTATCTCCAGCTGCTTCTCAAACTCTTCCTCCAGGGCTGCCAGCTGCCTGAGCCAATTGAGGGGGAGATCAGCTTCTGACGCAGTTGCCCTCAAATTAGAAAAAGAGAACAAGGAAGACAAGAAATTAGGCGGGAAAAAATGGCGCTATGAAATGCTATCAAGTTGGTTATGAAATGTCAGTAAAATCTGTGTCAAAGGCTGTTTTGTTCATAGATTCACCCAAATTCACCCTTGAACACTTGCCAGTGCTACACATGGAGCTGCGCGATCATGTCCTCCTTCGGCTTCAACGAATCGGTCACCTGCCCCCAGCTGTTTCTCCCGGCCCAGCGGACACAGCCGTGGGAAGATGTGGGAAGCGCACCTCGCGGAGTCGAAAGTCCAAGACTTGTTTGAACTTCTTCAAGGTCTGAACCTGAGGTGAAGCTAGGTGAAGCTAGGTGAAGCTAGGTGAAGCTCGACTCCCCATCTTTAGATAATCGTCAGATCATCTGTAGATAATCTTTGGATAATTGAAGGTATCTTGAAGGAAGCCGCCTCGTTCAGGCTATGTCCAACAGGAACCACCAGCTTCTGGAGCTTCGGATGCTCAGATATGCTCAGGTTCACACCTTCACCTTGTGTGTACCAATCTCCATCTCCTTGTCTCGAAGTGTGGACTCACGTTCCTTTCGTTCGACCTCGCGTTCGCTTCTCTTAACCTATTTCCCGGATACTCTGGGAGTACCGTGTGCAGCTTTCCCCTCATCATGAGGATTAAACTTACCAGCATGGTGGGCAAATGAAGAAAGATCAACTCAAAATGTCTCTGCAGGTAGCCTCCGGTCATATGTTGATTTTTCTGTTCGCAAACTGCAACAGAATAATAGATGGTATCCTCCTTAATCGTCATCAATTCTATTCCCAAATTGATGGTTACAACTCATTTAAATCCGTTTCCCAGAAAATGAATTGTCATGTTTCACAATTGCTGGTGGTTGAATCTCAAATGTCCAGCACATTTTTATTGTTATATATATATATGTATATATATATATTATATATATATATACATATCAGGTTAGTTCTCCCTCGATCTACTCCCCAAATTACCCGAGGCTATCCCCTTCAGACCATGGCACCTTCAGCGAATGGACCTCTCGCTTCATGATCTCTGCTTCTGATCTCAAGTTGTTGATGCTGACCTGAGAGGCGACCCTGGAAGGTCAGATAGGTCGACAGTCACAGAAATATCGCAGCATATCGCACCGCCCAAAAAGATAGAACAGCAAAAATATGCAAAAATCCTTGTAAGATCATGGTAAATTGAACCTGATTCATCTGGTTGGGGCTTACTATCTGTCAAAACCGGCAACAAAGACTTGCAGGTTGGGTGTAGCTGCTGTAGCTTTCCAACCAGAAGTGTAGCAGTGTAGCTTTCGATTTGATTCGGTTGATACATATCCTTTCCTGTCCACCTGCTTCCAGCTGCTCAGTGTCTGACTCCAGCTTCCCTCTGTTCGATGATGATGCGATCACGATCCTGTTCGGTCTCTTCGGTCTCTGCGCTTTGTTCTCTTGGTGGTTTTGTATCGTCCGACCCCCATAAGTATCATAAGTGGTGGGCCAATTGCATCACCGTAAAGCATGTGTCTTATGCTTTGGAGTTTGGACTTGATTCTCACTCGCAGTGGCTATACATCCCCCTGTTTTTCCATATTTCCCATGGTGCACATCCCAATCTCATCCCAAGCGCCTTCTCCATCATATCCAACCCTCGCCTCAAGGCCATGGCGGCCATGGCGGCCATGGCGGCCACCACAGGGACCAAGCGCAACCAGCTGAGCACCGGGCACCAACATATCCTGGTCCTTTTTCAGCTTGTACTCCACCAGGTGCTGTTGTTCCAGCTCCTGCCAGCTTGGAAACCCCGTCTGTTCATGTGGAAACATCTTAATCAGTCGTATATACATTGTATACATATGTGGTTAATTATACGTGATTATACGTGATTATACGTAATTATTGTGCGTGTAATACGTGTATATATATATATAAACATAAAGAGAGAGACAGGGAGAGACTTCAACCAGACAGCAAATGATGCAGACCCTCGTCTTCCGCTTTACTTCACATCTTTGCCGTCTCAGCTCCTCTTGATTCTTCTTCTTGATCTCAGAGATTTCCAGCGCCTGTTCCATGCCTTCCTGGTCCAACATGGCATCGAAGCGCTTTTGGGTGAAGGCGATGAGATCTTTCAACGTTTGGATCTGCGGCATCTTTGGACGAGGATGGTTTGGGTTCCGAACAAAAATTGGAGGAGCCCCGCCATCCCCAAAAAATTGAAAAGTTTGGAAATTGACATGAAAGATATTCACGGGGTGTTTTTTTTAGATTCTTCCACACATAAATGGATAATTTTGGGCAAACTGGAGTGTGGTGGGATCAGATTGGGTTCAAGGTTGCAAACCAACTAAGAAGTGTTCAGTGCAGCGTTCATCTGAAACAATCTGAAACGCCCTGGAAGTTAATAGATCTGAATACATCATAGCACATCTGATAATATAATGGGATAATAATGACGTAATAGTGGGACAGTAATTATGATATAATTTTAATAGATCCCTCATGAAAAAAACCATTTTGCCTTGCTATAAATGCTTTAATAGACAGTATGATGCTTAAATTCCATAAAATCCCAGGATAGAAATCATCTCATTCCCTACAGATGGATCCAGTGGTTGCCTTGCTATCCTTCTCATTGAGCCGCTGCTGCGTGGCCTGTCAGTCGAAAAATCAGATGGCCTGTTAGCCTGTCAGCCACTGGCCATTTTAATGGGGATTTAATGGGGATGATGTACTAATCATTGGAAATCATTGGAATTGGGTTAGACCATTTTTTGGGACCTATTTTCTGATTAAACATGTTTTTCCTCTCTTAGAATATATACCGTATTAGTTCCGAATAGTTCCGAACTGTCCTAAACCCGACGAAAAAACATGTGGAAGGAACCCCTTCATTTTGCGCATTCAGGTTGGACAAAACCCTGTTCGTTTCTCTCCGTGCCTTCTCTTGCTTCTGATCCTGCTGCTCCAGATCGGATCGAGCTTGTTGCCGGTTCTGACGTGCAAGAAACAGAGCCAAGACACAGTCCACATCCAGACCACCGTCATTCAGCAAACTAAGCTCCCCGGCCTGTTCGAATTTGGCTTCCATTTCGCGCAACTCGGCCTGGCACCAGGCGGCATTGTTGAAGTATAGCAACAAGGGCTTCGCGGATTTGCCTGAAGCGCCACGTAGTTGTCAGCATCTGCGCGCATGCGCTTGTCATAGGCCTGGCACGCTTCAAGGCCAAGGGCAGCATAGAGTCTGAAGCATTCCCAAGGCGAGCATTCGTATGAATTTTCTTTCACGCACAAGGAGAGTCTTTCAAAAAACAACAAAAAACATACCATTCACCAAAATTCACCAATCAAACAACAAGGAACAAACCATATACTCTGCTGTGAAGATTGTTGGACGGTCACAAGCTCTTGGTACTGCCTTCTCCTGGTCATCAGCTGATGAGACGTGTAGGGCCTGCGCAACAGCTGGACAGCTTGTGCCATGAGTCAAATGAGTCATGAGATGTCATGGGATTTTCTTCAAAACGATGGCCAAAATTTGGTCAAAAGCACCAAAAAAAAACAATAAGGCCAATAAGCTGAAGATGGCTGAAGCCTCCCTGCCACAAGATGATCTTCATGTTTTGCACCTCAGTGATCTTCATCTTCCGCAAGCTATCTCTCTCTTTCACCGTGGAGGCCTGCCGCGGGTATGTGGTGCTACATGTCGGGGAAACATCAACCAATACCTTGCAGACTTCTCCGACGACAGCTATTGAATGTCATTTTATTACATTTTATTGATTTAGGTGATGTGTAGAACCTCCACCACGTGACAATCCATCATTTGAGGATCATTCAGTCATTTAGACTAATGTCAGAAAGCAAACATTTGATCCTGTTTAGAGACACGAAGGTTCTTGTGTTACCACCCAGTTTGTTCGCTTTCAGTTTTGATCCTCAACAGATTTAATGGATATGAATGAGATATGAGGAGTAGCACTTAACATGACTTAACTAACCAAAAAACGGTGATTAATTGGTGGCACACCCTGTTGCTCCTTTTTGTAATCCCCCAACCCCCGTGCCAGCTTCTCCGCCTGCTGTAGCTCTTCATACTGGCTTCCTCAGTCGCTAGACCAACATTATGAACTGAAGGTTCATCGGCTGCAACTGAAACAACTGACATATGATTCGTGTTTCCTTGATTTTCCGTGCAATATCTTGCACTGAGGATTTTTCTAGAGGTCCATTTTCCATCTTACGGCTCTAAGGTCAGCACGAAGCGATTGAATTGTCGCTTGATCTTTCCGTCTCGCCTGTCTTACGCCATGGCACTGCCCATTGGTGAAGCAACGACGCTCCAGTCAAACGTGTGGTTTATGGGTCTCATATTGCCCATCAGCAACAGCTCAATTTACTTCAGCAAAGGGTGTTTCCAATGGCTCCGCCTCCTCAACTCTTGCTCGTAGTTCACCTCAGCTATCGGCTGGCTGCGAGTTTTTCTTGCCTTGCTCTTACTAGTGTTCAAATTGTCAGCTTCGTGAATCACAACCCCAAAGTTTGAGTCACACATGTAAGTCCATCAGACTCCAGCGACCCAAAGACGACTCTGAAACGGATGGGCCGCTGGAATTTGATCCATTTGATTCATTTGATTCATTTGATCCCTGAGTTTGGACCATTTTGCCACAAGTCCCCTAAGATCCCTAAGGTTGACACCTTGCAGCCTGGCAGCGTTCTCCTCCAACTGTGTCTTCAGCCTTGGAGGTCTTCGGAGCCATGGCAGCTATGGCAGCGCTCAAAATCCAAAAAGAAATCCACTGAGCCACCCTGGGGCCACCCTACTTGGAAATCTGCACGCTCAGCTCATTAATCTCATCCTGCGCACGCTGCAGCTTTTGATGCTTTTGTGACGCTGAAGAAAAAAAAAGAAGATGGGCCCTGGGGCACATGTTTCGAAGTTCTCCTGTCCCCCAAATCAGACAAAGGTTTGATTCATGTCCGTCATGGTGGCAAAAGAAGCTATGTGGCTGCGCTATGTGGCAATGGTTTAGGCTCCCAATCCTGACGCAGTTGGATATCCCCGCGGTTGATCATGACCACCTGTCACGCGAGGATTCCAACACCCAATGGATTTTATTCAACAGTTTTTTCAAACCGCAATTGTTTGAACTATGAGTCCTAGATAGTCCTAGACTTTTGACAAGTTTCCATTCATGATCATCATGATCATCAAAGTCTGCCTCCATTGGCTGCCGGCGATTGGCGGCCAGCTCCGTGTCAGAGAAACCATCGGCCTCGGTCTGAATGGACGATGCACTTTTCCATGGGTACCCATATGGGTACCCCTACATGGCCATTGCAGGGAAACTGATGAACCATGGGATGGAATGGGATGGAATGGGGTACCCAAATTGAGGATGCACTGTCCTTTTGATCTTTTTTTTTGGTTCCTGCATCGACCGGCTTGATCCCGGCTTCGTTTTTGTCCTCGTCCAGTGTTTGCCGATGTGGGAGGGTCCCAAGTTTAGAAAAGAGACAGCAAAAAAAATTCGCATAAGCATGGGGTAACCCAAAAAAATCCCATGTGATTGGTCTTCATGGTCTCAATCAAAACTGCCATGGGGTCTAGCCCATCTCCAGGAGAAAAAATAAACAATTCTTGAGGGCGCGACATTGAGCACAAAGACGCAGCCATCCTTTCCAGCCGTGGCGACCTGAGTTCAAATGGAGAATCGAAACCATGTCTTGCGGATCCTTCCCAAACTGTCACGTTTTTCTGATGTTCTCTGATGTTTCCCACTATACATCCATTTGTGATGATCTTCCTGATCTTCCTGTTAAAATGGAAAGTTTGGAGATTAATGGAAATTATTGTTCTTTACCATGTTTGATTGTCTGAGGGTTCGTCAGTTTCCTTTCGCTGAAACTTCTGGTTTCGGTTCTGAGACGTCAGCAGTATGTCCATCTGTGGAGATTCGAATAGCTGTGATGCCACCATCGTGCAACCCCAATCTGGCTGTCCTGGCAGAAGAAAACGACACGTGTGTTTGGCCACCAGTCCATTCAAATTGGATCAAAAATCATCAGAACATATCTGAACCCATGCATTTTTCACATGTTTGGATCTATGATTGATGTGTCTTACTAAGCCACTGCGCCATCATGAAACCGCGAGGGTTTCGCACCTCAACACTCCGGTAAGGCTACAGAAGGCCAGCAGGTTTCCGTTGCAGTCTCCGGCCAGGATGGACACCTGATGAGGATAAGTGACTTAAGTGATAAGTCATCTATGAGGATGCAAAACTCTGTAAATATCGTATACATACATACATACATTACATTACATTACATTACATTACATTACATACCATACCATACCATACCATACCATACCATACCATACCATACATACAAACATTACATGCATTACATACATTACATACATTACATACATTACATACATTACATACATTACATACATTACATACATTACATACATTACATACATAACATACATAACATACATAACATACATAACATACATAACATACATAACATACATAACATACATAACATACATAAATAAATACATACATACATACATACATACAATAACATAACATAACATAACATAACATTACATTACATTACATTAATACATACATACATACCTACATACCTACAGACCTACATACCTACATACCTACCTACCTACCTACCTACATACATACATATGTATATATATATATACTTATTTATTTGTTTATTTATTTATTTGTTTATTTATTCAACTATTTATCTGACCTTCTTGGGATTATCCCATATTTTTGGACAAACCCAACTGGTGAAAAACCATCCCCAACTCTTCTCTGGCCTCCGATGGTCTGCTGTGAAGATCCATCGAGATGACATGCTCAGAGGCATGCAAAACGAAGTCCTGAGCATGGCAGGGGTTCCCCATTCCATCGATCATTTACCCTATGAATGTCTATGAATCCTATTATTTGATGGACATTTCAGGGCTATACCATGGTGTATACCATGGTGTATACCATGGTGTATACCATGGTAACCAATGGACGCACAAAATTGGTGGTCTTATGATGGTTTATGTTCGTTTTCTGGTTTTAGGATCTAGAACCATCCATTTTGTCGGGTAATATTTTTTGACCCAGCCCGCCAATCAAGTCTTCACAGAATCTGCGACAAATCAAGCACAAATCAGGCACAAAACCGCAGAGGACACAGCCTCCTTCTCTTGGTAGACCCCGTTGCGGAAGGATCGAAAGGCTGCACTTTCCTGGTCCGCCTTAGGCCCGGCCCCAATGACTCCAATGACCCAATGGCATCCGGTAGAATAGCCTGGGCATCCCAGCCACGCCAGCCCACACCTGGCCAGCACCAGCAGTGGCCACAGCCACGGCATCGCCGTGCACTCCGTACTCGTTGATCTCAGGTGATTCCAGGCATCAAAAAGCACATGTTGGTAGAAAAAGCGACTTGAACTTGGATCCGCTTGGATGCTGGTAGTTTTGCAAACCAACGAATGCGGGCAAGTCCTACCATGGGGATGGTTTATACCACCCATTTACTTATGGTGATTCTGGGGATAGTTTATTGCTGGCTTTACCACATTAACAAGTCATAACAAGTCCCCCTAGTTCAACGGCAGTCAGTTGCTGTGTTTTGTCCTGGGTCCCTGGCGGAACTCCAATTCTCAGTGCTCCATTCACAGACCTTGCCATCTTCTCCTTGGCACCGTGACACGTCGCCAGCATGCGACTGCGGCCGCTAGCTGAGCGCCAGCTGAGCGCCAGCTGAGCGCCAGGACCCACTGAGACCAAGGTCTTGTCCAAGGGATCGAAAGCCATAGACGCAACCTGCTGAAATTTGGAGATCCATGGAGATCCATGGAGATCCATGGAGATCTTGTCTATGAACCAATTGTGGATGTGTTCTTTTACAAAGCTTTACAACCAACAAAAAGTGGATGTGGAATGATGTGGAAAGGCTTGTATATCGAAGAATGTGAAGAATCCCACACACACCTCTCGGGGATGCCCTCGCAGGGTGGCGATCTTTTTCAGTGTCCGGGTGCTGAAAATGATGATCAACTTCGCCTGCAATTCGGAATTCCCAAGGAAATGCTGTTGACTTCGCGGCCATGTTTGGGTGGACGAAACAGTTTTGGGTTGGATTCCCAAAGTTCATATGAAAACAAGACCCGCGGGGCCAATGCGAACTGGAAACTTGCATTTTGCTCTCGCATTGTCCATAACTCTCACGGATTGATGGGTCAGGTGAGCAAGGACTTCAGTAGCGATTCTTACCGCCACTCTTGCCCCCCTTCTTTCCACCTGACTTTCCACCTGACTTGCCACCTGACTTTCCACCCTTATCTTTGCCATCTCTTTTTCCTTTGCCTTTGGATTTGCCCTTCCCTCTGTCTCTATCACCTTTCTCGCCCTTTTCGCTCTTCTTGGGTCTTTTGGCTTCTTCCGCCTCTTCCAAGTCAAAGAGCATATCTCTTCTCTCCTCAGAGGACTCCCAAGTACTATCTTTGGCTGCAAACTTTTTGTAAAGTTCTCCTTCCATGTGTTCCCTCATCTTCTCCGGTGTGGCGGTGCAAATTTTGGTTAATGGGCAATAGAACTTCATCTCGCCCCACTCTTCCTCTTTGGGTCTGGAGCGTTTCTTTGGGAGCGCCGGAGGCGGCAACGGCGGTGCCGTGGCGGGCGCCGGGGGCGCCGGTCTCGCCACGCGTGTCGGAAGTCTGGGATCTAAGACATCCAGCTGGGCGTGGGAGATGTTGGGCTGATCCTGCCAGGAGCTTCAGCGGCTCACGCTGATTTCAACATGTCTGGTGGTAGTAGTATGATGTAGCATGGGATACGGATAAATGGTATGGCTCAAAAATGGGGGAGCAATGGACCCGCAAAATGGTTTGTCTTTAGATATCTTTAGGATGAGACCATCCAAGTTTGGGGTTGGCAATTGCGAGCCACCCATGGACAGAAATGCCCAGAATGCATTGAATCTGACATCATGCGACTTTCTCGTATTTGATGTTATACTTGTGTATGTATATGATTATATATGATTACATACACTTGTGCATGTATATGAATTAATATGACTACATATGTGTATATATTAGTTTTTATATATATATATATGTATATATATTATAAATACAATCAAATATATATATATATAAACATCATATATATATATATACATATATAGAATTGTACTATATATATATATATATAGAATATAATTGCAAATACATATATATATATAGAATTGTAATATATATATAATTATATATATAGTTATAGATATGATATAATTATCGAAGGAAGTTTAGAAGTGAAACTTCCGACAATATGGACAGTTGAAAAGCAGAGGTGAGAAGAGTCAGAAGAGAAAAGATCAGAAGAAAGAAGAGGTAGATGCGCGAAAAGATAGGAAAGTCGCGACTCACTGTGTTTTTCCAATGATTTGTGGCTCCGGAGGGTCGAAAAGTAGGCTCGCTAAAGCGGCGGGTGCGGAGCCAGCTGGCCAGATGAGACATGAAAAAGTGCACGCCGTTGTGGCGCGAAGCACATTTCCAAGTCAAAATGGACAAAACACTAGAGGAGCGGACCACTTTTGGAAGTTGCGATGTCGAAAAGTGCACGCCGTTGTGGCGCGAAGCACATTTCAAAGTCAAAATGTACAAAACACACCATCTCGGACCACTTTTGGAAGTTGCGATGTCGAAAAAGTGCACGCCGTTGTGGCGCGAAGCACATTTCCAAGTCAAAAGTGTTAAAAACTGACGGTCTCGGACCACTTTTGGAGGTTCGGATGTCGAAAAAGTGCACGCCGTTGTGGCGCGAAGCACATTTTGAAGTCAAAAGTGTTAAAAACTGACGGTCTCGGACCACTTTTGGAAGTTGAGATGTCGAAAAAGTGCACGCCGTTGTGGCGCGAAGCACATTTCCAAGTCAAAAGTGTTAACAACTGACGGTCTCGGACCACTTTTGGAGGTTCAGATGTCGAAAAAGTGTCGAAAAAGTGCACGCCGTTGTGGCGCGAAGCACATTTCGAAGTCAAAAGTGTAAAAAACTGAAGGTTTTGAGCCTTTTTTGACGTGAAGATGTCGAAAAAGTAGACACTGATTAACTTAACTAACTTGACTAACTTAACTAACTTCACTAACTTAACTACCCTAACTTCGACGACAACAGCAACAGCAACAGCAACAGCAACAACAACAACAACCACAACCACAACCACAACTGCAACTGCAACTGCAACTACAACTACAACTACTACACAACAACTACAACTACAACTAGAACTACAACTACAACAGCTACAACAACAACAGCAGCAACAACAACAACAGCAACAGCAACAGCAACAACAACAACAACTACTACTACAACTACAACTACAACTACAACTACAACTACTACAACTACAACTACAACTACAACAACAACAGCAACAACAACAACTACAACTACAACAACTACAACTACAACTACAAAACAACTACAGCTACAACTATATGACTGCAACTACACTACACTAATTACATTACACCACAACTACAACTCCACTACGCTACAACTACAACTACAGTTGCAGTACATCACACTACATCCAGCAGTTGTGGGTGAGGTGACCACTGCAACCATTGCAACCATTCCAGCAAACACAACTCCAACCTGATTCACAACAACCAACTTCTCCTATAGGTTTCCTATTTTTGAAACTTCCGCCACCGCCTTGTGCGGTACTACTGGTATATATATATGCATATATAAATTAAAGAGTCTGGCAAAGTTCTGAGAATCTGTCAAACTCGCTACAGTACATTCCCTCCCCAACCGCCAGTTCCATTGTTCGCGACTCCCTCCTCCAAGACCTGAAACTTCAAGCAAATGGAGAAGTGCGGCAGCTCATCTAAGGTCATCATGAAAGCCTCCATGGGTATTGAAAGCAAAGCATCCGGATCTGGAGCTAATGCCTCCTTGACCAGATCATAGTTCGATACCATCTCTTGAGGATCCCGACCATAGATCTCTTTCAGGCGTGCTTTCCGAGCAATTGCCTCATGGATGAGTTTGGCCCTCAGGGGGGCCATTTCGGGAGGGGCTTCCACACCTGCTACATTTGCGGCTCCCTTGATCGACACCAGTTCCAAATCAGGATTCAGCTGCAAAGCCACGGACAGTGGAAGCGGGATGGGCTTCGTGTCCAGCGAAAAGGTCAGCATCTGCAGGTTCTGCAGCCATTCAGGCAGCTCAATGCAAAAACCTCCGAAAACGATGGGCTTGATGCACTCGAAAACCTTGATGGCCTCCATGCTGTACTTCGCAGTTGTCTGCTGGCACCCCAAGTGGTTCAACAACTGTACCAACTCGATGCCTGCGGCACCACAGGGTGAGCTCATGAGGCAAGTTTCCTCTGGCCACACCACATGCAGAAGGCCATCGCCCTTGAGCAGGGACTTGGATGACCGCAGCAAATGGAAAACAAATTGGTGAACTCTATAAGCATACAGCGGCCGATCTGATGTTCCCAACTCCTTGGGTACTGAGAAACTCAAGCCAGGTAAGAAAAAGACCAGCTCATCAAAGCTTCCGGCTGGAAAGGTCTTGCCAATCGTCACCGGGTTGACCATATGCCTCACTCGGCCCTTCATCACGGGTGGAAACGGATTCGCTTCCCGTGCCGTGATGTTTTGAGTGGACAGTACGGAACAGGCCGTGAAGTCCATCTCCTGATAGGCTTCCTGCAAGCCGGCGGCAAACTGAAAGGTCTCATCCCCAACCACCAGCGATTTGGGCTTTCCCGACTCCTCTGGGACCGGAGGTGCAGCCTTCGAAGGCACCTCTGGGAATGTTGGTTGAGCTGCTTGAGCACCAGCCTTGGATGGCACCTCTGGGAGCCCAACAGCTTTGGACAAGGCTTCCGGCACCGGGATGGACGCTTTGGACAAGGCATCTGGGACCGGCGGTAGCGCCTTGGATAAGGCCTCAGGGACAGGGACTGGTGGCACCTTGCACAATGCCTCCGGTAGTGGAGCGGCCTTGGAAGGAACTGCTAAGGATTTGGATGGCGCTGCATCGAGGGCAGCCTCTGCCATGAGGCCCCCTGAACAAGGCCCATTGGGGCCTTGACCCTAAAATGCTGCAGACAAATGCAAACAATGGGAACTTCGAGAGAAGCAGCTCATCATCCAAAGTTCGTCACACAATTGCAAACTTCAGTCCAGGCATAGAACCATTCTCTACCTCTATCAAGTCTAATTCAAGCACAAGTCTGTGCGAAGTGCATTCTCGAATCCATCACATGGTACCATTGAACTGCCTGCGCTGCAGCCAAAATATGGCCGCCATTGGAAAAGCGGAGCAGGTGAATGTTCCTGACAGATCAACTAGGAAAACTAGGAACCAATAGTCAGCCGCAAATCTGATGTCACACGGCTGATGGCTGAGGTGGCCACTTGATGTTGATGTCTGAGAAGAGCTTCAGACTGGCAAAACACGCTGGCTCGGGCAGATCTCAGAAGCCGAGCAAACGCCTTTTAAATTATACGCAATGTAAGGCAATGTAAGGCGTTTTACATCGTGTTACCATCTCTGCTATCTCTTCCCAGCCCATAGCGTCGGTATCACCGCAGTCGTGCCAGGGAGGCTCTTTGGATAGAATCTCCATCAGGCGAATCCTGGAGTGGTCAGGTGCAGCCCCATGAAAAACCCCTGGAAGGATCGAAGTTGGGATGAATGGGATGGACTGATGACTACAAACTACATCAAGCTAGTACTAGTACTAGTACTACTACTACTACTACTACTACTACTATTATTGCTAAAAATGATGAATAATGTGCAGAGTGGAGATGAACCACCCCGTGCCAAATGTGTTTCAGCCCTGGACCCACCATGGCTCTCCTATCACTGAAGCTCACTGCAAGAAGGAAGCCAAAAGGATGCAGGGCCAGACCTGCCAGCTCGACAGCTTCAGGAAATCACTCCCAGATTTTGCATCACCCAACCCTCAGGACCACATCTAAGTTTCGCACTGGTGAGCTCTTCAGAAGCTTGCCAGCCTCCAAAGCCAAAGGCTTCGACTTCGTGACACTTCGTGACATGTTGATTTCATGTCTGTGAAAATTTGCTGGTGACATCCCTTTTACCTACCATTCTGCATACCTTACCTATGGATACCTATGGTATCTTAGCGAAACCATAGCGGTGCCATGCCGGGGTGCCGGGGTTTTCCTTGGCATCCGAGGCGCAAATGTCACAGCGACCAGCTTGGTAGTCCCATACCTTGGCTCCACCGGAAAAATGTGGTGCTTCACCAGCATTTCACCATTCAATCCATCCAGCATACCCCAAAAGTGATGAAAAGATGTGGTTTAAATTGGAAAAAAACTAGTCTAAAATTGAGTTTAGCCATGTTAGATGGTGAAATTTTATGGCTTCTCAACGAAGTCTCAAGGCTAGGCCACCACACTCGAATGGTCCCATCCTGGCCTCAGAAGTTCAGGCTCCAAAATGGCTGTTATGATCAATCATGGCAAGCATGGAATTGTGGAGTATTTCTGGAGTATAAACGGTATAACTATAACCAGATACCTTAGATACCCAAGTTTTCAGCCAACCCAACTGCCATCAAAATTCCTAGCTAAGCCTCCCACTGCAAGCAGAGACCACTATGGGGCGCTGCACGGCCATGTCAAGGCTGGTCACTGGGCCTCCAAGTTGTGTATCAGTCTGAGTCTGAGTCTGATTCTGCGTGTATATTATACACTCATATATGTTATGTATGTATACAATTATAATGTGTATATATATATATATATATGTGTGTGTGTGGGTGGTATATATAGAATTTATGATAGATGCTTGCCATCATGTCACTTGTTATGTTTTGCAATGCTTCAAATCACTGCGTCCCCACCTGCGTGCGCGCCACCTCCCACCAGTGGTAGGTCTTCAACCTCAGTCGTTGATATCGACCCAAAAGCGTTCGCCCGGACTCTAAATTATCCCAGCTTACACCTTGTCCCAACATGTCCCAACTACACATGTTTCACTATTATCACTACATTGATTGAAGATCTTCAATGAGGGATCAAATCCCTCAGCCGTCAAAAAGTGATCCAATTCATTGGTACTGGCCGTTCCTGACCGTAACCAGAACGCATCTTCCATCATCGGCGAGTTGCAGGAGCAGCTGGTTCCACCTCGCCAGAACGCAGCAAGCTCAAGCGGAAATGCGTGATGTAAGCGTTCTGGAAGCCCACTGCAGCATGCACCTCCAAGGGGAGGGGGGGAACATCGCAAAACCCTGGCTGCGAAACCGGAAAGATGTCCAAAACCATGTTCGAAATGCGAACAAAAACATACAAAACTGAAAACAGAACTGTAAACTGTAAACTGGAAAGAAACTCTCCTAGTTCCATTTGTTTTCGCTTCCCATGTTTGGCGATTCAGAGTTCACCCGACCTCGTCACGGCCACCCACTAAATCAAGGGCCACCACAGGTGAGCCCGCCCCCAGCGCCAAGCACGCCGTACAGTCCTGGACTGCCAGGCACCATGGCCAAAAGTGTCATTTTTATGGGGAAAATATGGGGAAATCACCATTTTTAATGGGAAAATCCACTATAAATGGTCATTTTCAATATCTATGTTAAATTACCAGAGGTTTAAAGATGTTTAAGCCACTTGATCTTGGGGGTATCCTATTTTTTGGCAAAGCCAGATATACGCCCCAAGCACTGAAAAGATTGAAGAAATGGATGAAAGTTGAATGCCGTTGCATTGCTACATATTGAATGGAAGACATGCAGCTTCACCAAAGATTCATCAAATTTACTGAACTCAGGTTCAAGCATGCTCATAGGAAGGCCCCGATAGCATGTCATCGGCGTCTCGATCTCCCTGCCAGGACACACGCATTCGATCTCCTTTTCGAATCCATGTCTGTGCCAGTTTGAAAAGGCAAATGCAGAACATTTGGAACCACAAATCCTCTCGAATTTCTGAGCCCTTGGGCGAAAAGAACATAAGATATAGACACACATCAAACTCGTACTCATACTCGTAATTCTATCATGATTGATGTTGAGCCATCATTATACTATTTAAAACACACACAAAAAAAAAGTGCCATTCGAAACACATTGTAAACCAGTAAATTATAATCCATCATGAATCATTGGTTCAACAATTTATAGAGTGTTATAATCTTTTTCATTCAACCATTATAATCATTTATAATCTATCAACCATTATAAGGCCATATTTTTTGCGAAGCATCCCACCTCCTGTGAAAGGCGCCAGACGCTGATGCAGCTGTCCGCTCCCGCCACCACGAAGCCATGGGTGAAGGCGCGGATCTCGGTGGCCGGGAGGCCGGCGCGCCGCTTGCCGAAGGGGCACTGGATGTGGCAGATGAAGTAAGGTACCTGGAGATCTTTGGAGATGTTCGGAGATGTTGGGAGTGTTTTTTTGACTTTTTTTGGAGATGTTTGGAGGTGTTCGGAAAAGATTTGGTGATATGGTGTTGGTTTCTATGGGTTTATAGTGGGGTTGATTGTGAAGAAAAAGTGTGGTTGGAAGTTGGAAGACTTGGAAGGTATAGTTGGGTGCTGCCAGGTATGGTTGCTGTTTTTGGCGGGGTTCAAGTGTTGGATTTTATAGTTGGGGATGTAGTTGGGGAACGACCAGGAGGAAACTCAGCTTCAGTCAGCTTCAGGAGCACGGGATCGACATGCTGAGCTCGTCCATCGACATCCTGGAGTCCAGTCTTGCAGCACTTCGACTTTGCAGCTTGCAGCACTTCACTACTTGATGTGGCTCATCCCACTTAGTAAGTGGATTAACCCTACAAAAATCCCATTTATAACTGGGCTTATAACCCACTTACGAGCCGTGGGATGAGCCACTAAGTACCATCTCACCAAAGCATGATCTATTCACATCTAAGTCAAGGCCGCAAAGGCCATCTCAAAAGGTAATCCCTGACAGCCTGTGACAGCCATGACAGCCATGACAGCCAGCCTCCACGTCCAAGCCGCTGGAGATAATCTCAACAGCCCCCTCTCAAGGTCACTCTCAGATGGGTCAATGGGGGGTCTTGAGTGGTTTTAAAAAGTTTTATCAATGTGGTCCATTCAAATCATTTCAAATCACCAATGGACCAGAGTCCGGTAATTCTTCGCTACTGTGTCATGTGTCCCAGTGAAATAGCCCAAAAAAAAAACAGGCCATCTTCCACAGGAACACGCCTCATGAGAGCATAAAGCCAGGGCGCCATTCCTTGGACCATGGCTGATCGCCAGTTCCCTCAATGGCTACACAACTGGGCCATCGCCAAAAATCTCCGTCGAGATGCGCCGGTTGAAGCCATGTGTGGTCCATGAAGGTGCTGCAATATTCGTTGAGTTCTTCCACTCGTTGCAGCACAATCATGTCCTAACCGTGGAACATGGTTTGGTGGTCGACAGGGGCTGTACTTATAACTCATCATGTTGTGAGGATATATATATATATATACATACACATACATATACATATAAATATATACATATATATATATATATGTTATAGATATATCTAATTATGTGTATTTAGAATCATATATACAAGGTAAGCAACAATGTGGGATTTTTGGTATGGCTTCAACCCCAGATGAGAAGAAAAGTCGTTTGGGGGGATGATCATCATGTTTTTCCATGAAGCCATTGTCCCAGAAGTGAAGCCATTCCGCCATTTTGAGACAAACTCAAAAGTCTAATATAGTTGGCTATGTATGTATGTGTATATATATATATGTAACATATTCTCATCAAATGGTTGATTGGTTCATTTTCTACCCCCACTTTTTAAGGGGTTCAACCACCAACCCATCGTCCAACGGCGCTTCACCTTGCTCTCCAGCTTCTCTTCGGACGTTTCCGAAGGTGGCCAGTCCCTGGAGCAACTGGGCATTGAAAATCCATAACTTTGCAGGTCTATATTATTATTATCATTATTATTAATTATCATTATTATCATTATAATTATATATATATATATTATTATTATTAATTATTATTATTATTATTATATATATATATATACTTTATGTATATTATATATTATATATATATATCATATATCTCATTATATATATTGTGTTTTTCCTGACATCCGTCTCCAAATGTGCATGCTTTAAAGCCTTTGGCCGTGCTGCTGCATTTCCATATAGGCTCAGGAAGACTCAGGGGGTCACGGTGTGTGCAAAAGGGCGTGGTTCGCCGTTGAATGGTGGTTGGCCGGGGTTGCCATTAAATCGAGAAGTGTAACAAGTTTGGACAGGGAATCCATTATCTTTCCTTGTGGTCAAGGACGATTGATCAGGTGGTCAAGGTGGAAGATTTGGTTGTGAGGCCCGTTACCAGTTCAACACTGGTAGCGGAGCCAGAGAGCTCACCGCTGCCAGCCTGGTTGCTTGCTGCGAAAGTGAGTAGATCCAGGGAACATGGAATCTTCAAGTGGCGGTGGATTGACTGCGACGGGAGGTTCCTCAGGGAATTCATTTCTTCCATGGCATTTGATACCATCATTTAAGCCTGGAGAGACCGAGATCAATGAGTACACGAGATGACTGGAGTTTCTGGCCAATATTTGGCCCCCAGAACATTTGCCTCAGCTCGCACCTCGAGCGTGCATGTTGTGCGAAGGCACCGCCTTTGCAAAGGTAGTGCGTCTGGATCCGGAGAAGCTTCGAGTCAGTACCACGGACGGAGTGAAGCTGGTCGTTAAGACCCTTGGGGGAGTCTGGGGGCAATCTCGCCTGGAAAAGAAATATGAAAGGTTTGAACGTGCCATTTTTGGAACAATTCAAAAATCAGATGAAACTCATGCCAGTTATTTGGCCCGCCATGAAGTGCAATACGAAGATTTGATCAGTATGGGTGCCACCTTGGAGGAGATGCGTGCCTACATCTTACTTCGCAATTCAAGTTTGTCTGCTGATGATAAGAAAAAGGTCATCATGGACGCAAATGGCGAACTTGAATACACCAAAGTGACGGCAGCACTGCAACTGTTGGGTTCCAAATTTTTTGGAGAGGTTCAACAGGGTTCCAGCAAAAATCAGACTCGCACCAAGACCTATGATGCCAACATGATAGATGAACAGGAGCATGATGTTGATGATGGAGATGAAAATGTCTTCCTGGCCTCTGAGGTTTCTGAGGAGACGGCAGTCGACATCATGATGGCCGAGGGGGACGAAGATGCTTTCGTTGTCCAGCAATTTGAAGATGCGATTCTGGAATCTTTGCAATCCGACCCTGAAATAGCTTCCTGTTTGAATGCCTACGTGGATGCGAGAAAGCGCCTTCTTGACAAAGCCAAAGGGCGTGGATTTTGGGGTCCTTCAAAGACCAACAAAGGAAAAGGTAAGGGAAAATTCAAGGGTGGTTTCAGATCTCAATTCAGAAAGCCTTTAGCACAAAGAATTCTAGAGAGCTCATGCAAGATATGCCATCAAAAGGGACATTGGAAGGCCGAGTGTCCTCAAAGGTTCAAGGCAGGGTCCAATGCTGCTGCACCAGCCACCGGTGCGCCAACTGCCTTTGCTGGAGTGTCCCTTGCCACCGATGGAGATCCAATTGAGCCTGATGGTGACGTAGTGTCAGAACTGCCTGAGAATGCCGTGGCTTTCACCGTTGAAGAGGCTCGAAACAGAAGTCCACACCTCTTGAGTAGACCCGGTATTTGTTTTCCTCCTGCCAAAATCCGTAACAGTTGGAACCAAGACCAAGTTCAATCCCAAATCATGAAGATTCGACCTGACCTTGTGACCCGACTGCGTGCCATTGTCAGGCCGAACAAGATGATTCAACCACAACGTGGCAGCACATCACCGCGACCTGACCCCCTGGGTCCCAAGACAGATGAGGACTTTCCTGAGAGTTCATTTTTTGTCTCACATGGGTCGACAGGGATAGTTGATTTGGGAGCCAGCATGTCAGTCATAGGCCAGCGTCAATTTTCGGAACTGTGTCATTCTCTCCCTGCTGAGATCCGAGGGCTGCTCAAAGAAGCCCCTTGCAATGTGAGTTTTAGATTTGGCAACAATAGCACGGTCACCGGAAAGAAAGCCGTATTCTTTCCCATTGGTCCGTTTTGGATGAAAGTGATTGTAGTCCCCTCCAACACGCCATTTCTTATAGCCAACAGTGTTTTCAGATCTTTAGGTGCAGTCATTGACACAGAGAGCAGTCAGATTTTTTTCAAGAAGCTGGGCCGATCAATTCCAATTGTGCTCAATGAGCGTAAGCTGTATCGGCTTGACATGATGGATCTTTTGACTGCTCCGATCCGTGGCATAAAAGGGGTTTGCCAAACTCAGGACACCATGTCGGAAGACACCAAGGCAACAGCTTTTCAGACGGTAGATAATGCCAGTCCGAATCAAGAGAACAATAATAATGCTGATGCAAAGCCTCGCACCGTAAGTTTTGCCGATGAGACCGCCGAATCATTTTCCAGAGCCGAGCACTCCCGGCTCAAAGATCAGAACACTCAGTTTCAGATCGCTCAGCACGAACCAGTTGGTTTTGAAAGTCATGTCGACCGGCGGACAGTTCGATCAGCTGGCAGATCGCCTTCGCCGTCTTCAACTGGACAATCAAGCCAGCTCGGAGGCCGTCGAACAAGTGATGGAAATGAGCTTGGAAGAACTCCGAGAGTGTCGGATCGAGTTTGGAAAAGCCCACATGAACAAGCCCTTCAAGGAGATGGTGAAGGAAGATCGTTACCTGACATGGTTCGCAGAGACTTACCGCCACAGCCAGAAGATCTGCCACATGAAGTTCCTCCGCTTCATCGAGCTGCACTTGGACGATGTGGAAAGTCAGAAGAACCAAACTCGACCCAAGTCTCAAGCCAAAGCCAAGGCCAAGCCAAAGGCCTCCAATCATGCCGCACCTCATGCCCGGGATCACCCCGAGTTGCCATCCGACCCATGGCACCCCAGCTCCGACGAGGAGATCGGGAGCGCGTCGTGGGAACCAGTGGCCCATGCCGAAGAGATCAACCACATGAACGAGCGCATGACCGAGATGGAGTCCGTGCTGCAGCAGATCCTGAGCCATTTGAATCCACATGCACAGCCTCACTCCATGGCCTGATGACAAAACATCAGGTAGCCGATCTCTGTGGTGTATGGCAAACATTGGCTGAACCTTCTCAAGTGTTTGACCCAATGTCCGAAGTAGGAGTTAGGGAAAGCATTCTACTCACTAGGGAAGACAATTGGGTGGCCCAAGAAATGTGGAGTTTCTTTTCTCAAAAAGGAGTGTTTAGGGATCCTCAAAGGTATGCCAAGAACCTATCCGATGTCATGGAAATCTACTGCAGCTCCGATAGTGAATTGACCAAACAGGCCCAACAGCTAGGCTTGCATGCTGAGAGATTTTGTTTGCAAGATGGAGATCTGGCCACCATGGAGGGACGACAACGGCTGTACGAGCGACTGCTGAGAAGTTTGCCTCGGAACATTTGGGTATCCCCGAAATGTAGAGCTTGGTGTCGATGGAACATTTTTAACATGTCCAAGAGTCCTGAAACTGCTCAACGCATTTTTCAAGCCCGTGAAGATGACCGCGTACACCTGCTCTTGTGTGATGCTGTGTTCCAATTCCAGATGTGGCGAAGCCCACAATGTCATGTTCACTTGGAACAACCGCAGGGATCCCAAATGATTTACCAAGAGGAAATGTCGGCCATTGTCAACCATGGCTGGATTGCAGTTTGCGACATGTGCCGTGCAGGTCAGCTGAAGCATCCGATTTCTGGCAAACTGTTGAAAAAGGGTACCCAGATCATCACGACCTCCCAGATCATGAAACAGGTCATTGAAGCTTTGAGATGTTCTCGTGACCATGAACATGACTCAGTTGAGGGTTCATTTCATCATCCGGATTTCGGCCGTGTGAATGTATCCCAATACACGGAACTCTACACAAGAGTTTTTGCCAGGAAAGTCGCCCGCTGTCTGCAATGTATTGGTCAAATTCGAGAGAGGCATGCACCAGACCAAGAAGATGCTCTCACAGGCCATGAACCTGATTCTTTTGAAACACCGGAACCAAAACGCCAAAAGATTTTGGGAAAACAGAATCCTCCATTGTTTTATCAGCGCCAGAAGTACGAGCAAAAACGAAACAACCTTTTGCAGTTGACACTAGAACAAGCTCCCAGAGTAGGAAAGCGTGTTTTTCGTGAGGGCCCCATTTTGGAACAAGCCCAGAGCCTTTTTCCTGGTATTCAAGTGAAGGCTATAGAAGCCTGCAAAGGTGCTGATCGGTACAGGCCTCCATGTGATGGGATCACCAGACAAAATGCCACGCATCGTATGACCATGGGAATCCACCGTAACCAAGATGGCAATTTTTCTGATGAAGTTTGGGAAAACT